CCATATAGTTTTAAAGAAGATTTCCATAATCTGAGTATAAAAATAAGACTAAATTATTTAATATCCTAGAAAGTCTCTACTAGTTTCTGGGCTTTTCATTGCAGCCTCATAGAGAGTAGCATGTCTACGAGATCAAGACTTGTCATCAGTCCAAAATGTGTGACCTACTCTATTAACTTCTCCATAAGAGAAAGGCCCAATAATAAGAATATATTTTATATCTATACTTGAATAATTGCCATGTTTTTACCTAGCTTGTTTATTCAGTCCCAGTGTGTTTATTTAGTATTTGAATTGTTACAGAATGATTTCTAAATGTGAACATTATCTAACTTATTAAAGAAAATATTTATATTGACCACTACTAGATTTTTAGAAAAGAAGACAACTGTATTCCTTTAGTAACTTCCAATATCAGAAATTCTGGCTATTTTATAAAGAAAAACAAACAAACAAAAAAGCATTTAAAGTGGAGCAGACTGTTTGTTGAACCTCAGAGGGAAGACATGGGAGGGTGAGTGGAAAGAGATCAATCACTGAACACACACACATACGCACGCCCGCCCACTCTCACACACACACACACACACACACACACACACACACACACACACAACCCGTGGACACAGGCAATGGGATGGAAAAGACTGGGAGGAGGGAGAGTAAGGGAGCAGGCTGGAAATAGTTAATGGGAGAAAGAGGAGAACCTATGTAATACTTTCAACAGTAAGATAAATAAAGTGGAGCAATAAGCACCTTAGAGCCTGGGAGGTACACAAACTGCCTATCAACCGGTAGAAATTTGTTCAGTAAAACTAAGCACAGGGAGTATGAAGAATACATAGCATATTGTTTGCCTGATGCAAGTATTCATGGACCCACTACATTCTATATAATAAAAGGCTAGTATGCTAAAATCAACCGAACAGTAGAACAACTGGTTGCTATGATGCGCACTGACCACCAGGGGCAGATGCTCAACATTCAAAATGTTGTTCTTCAACTATCAGTTTGGCTTCCACTTTACTCCTGGGTCAAGTGGACCATAAGATGTGCCCTCAAAAAGTAGTCCCCCACCATACAGCTAAACAGTTGTGGTGGTCCATGAGTCAGTATGACTCGTATCTCATGCCATCTCTCCTGGACGTAAGGGGAACCATACAGGCTCCGCTTTATCCATCAGGCCTTTTCTGAAGCTCTATAATAGTCTGTTTCTAGCTACAATCTACAGTAGGGGTGTCGAACTCAATCAGAGAAGGGGCCAAAATCTAAAATCCAGCCTAAATCGCGGGCCGAATGGTTTACTGAACAGTCATAAACTGTCATTGTGATGGAAACACAGCAGAGTGCAGTGATGACAGCGCAGTGCAGGCCACATTGCAAGGCCTGGCGGGACGCATTTGGCCCGCGGGCCTTGTGTTTGACACATGTGATCTACAGCATATCAGTTAATCTGAAAACCAGGCTTGACCTTTTCTCCTGATTACTTGCTATACAGACTTTCCCATGAGGCCATAGGGTGGGTTGAGGGAAGGATGGCAGGTGCAGCAGGCATAGGTAAAGCAAGAGTCTGAGCTTCCTCATTTTGAAATTTACTCTTCACACCTGAACATGCTGTGTATGTAACTTTAACCTGAGGGCATAGTATTCCTGGACATGTCCATCTTTGTGACCAGTTGAATCAGTCAGTGGCCACTTCATGATGGGTTCCATGGCTGTGTAATATCCCATGGAGGTTTTGAGTTTATCTAAAATAGTCAAGTGTCCAGTTTGCACTATGACCCAGTAGCAATAGTTTCGTGCTGACTAAGAACATGGCTTAGCCCCCAAACCTTAGGTCCTTTCACTGTTCTATTTGGGGTCCAAGTATCCCAGTCTGCCATAGGTGCTTCCATTGGTCACAAGGGCCAAGGGTTCAGTTGTGTGCATTTTATCCTGGACCATATGGAGAGCTGTCTCTCAGCTTCACTTAACACTGACAGCTTTATAGGTCACTCGGTAAATAGACAGAGTAGTACACAAAATAGATTGGCATTTATTGTTTCCAAAGCCCAATGAGATCTAAGCAGTATTTATTATCATCTACCCTCTGGCACATACATGTGTCTTACCAGGGTATCATAGGGTACTAGTTACTTCATGCCATCTTGTCCTATGGGACTGTAAGATGATGAAGGTTACTGCAGACTGAGTGACAGCATGGAACCAGAGTTGACAGGGCACTAATGCAACATGAATGTATCCCGCTGCCCCGCCATGTAGCTTTCTGTTTTCTTTTCTATGGAGAGAGAAACACACATGCATACACACACACACACACACACACACACACACACACACACATCAAGTCAGTAGCTGCACGCCAAAGCTATTATAGTAGAATCCACATCTGTATCAGCAACTGCAACTGGAATTCTCCCTAATTAAGTCTGTGATACTGAATACTACTGTCAATCTCAAATATTGATCTTCCTTCTAGGCTTGCCACACAGAAAGAGATATGATAGGAATCATCACCTTGCATCTTTCAAGTTTCTGATGGTGACGTTAATCTTTGTGATTCTCCCCAGAAGGTGCGGCATTTCTTTCACTCTGTTATTTTGGCAGGAGAGAAAGGCCTAGGAGTCTCTTTTTAGCTCTTCTAATCACAGTAGTTCTTATTACATGGATCAAAGTGAAAATTTGGAAATTTTGCCTATTTCTGAATATATATTCCATTCATAAACTCAGAATCTGGACAAATGATCATAAGACAAACTCCATTTGTGTTTGTCACCCATAAAGCCTTCAACTTGGCTGGTCGAACACAGAGGTATTTACTCCTTGGGGATCAACATCAGCTCAGGGACAGTGTCCAGTAAATCCTGAAAGGTTTGGTTATTTCCCTCTCTCTAATGTAGGGGTGTCGAACTCAATCAGAGAAGGGGCCAAAATCTAAAATCCAGCCTAAATCACGGGCCGAATGGTTTACTGAACAGTCATAAACTGTCATTGTGATGGAAACGCAGCGGAGTGCGGTGATGACAGCGCGGTGCGGGCCACATTGCAAGGCCTGGCGGGACGGATTTGGCCCGCGGGCCTTGTGTTTGACACATGTGCTCTAATGCATAGTTGTTTTCAAAAGCAGCTGTAGATTCTTTGGGAAAGGGTAGAAGGAAGAGCTAAATTACATGACTATGATGACTAGAGGCTCAATGCACAAAATTCGTGCAAGAGTAGGCCTTGCTTCCCCTGGCTGCTGGCACCAGCTTCCCTCTGGCCCCCAAGACCCAGGCTTCCTTCCAGCACCTGGGGCCCGGGCTTCCCGCTGGCCGCTGGCAGGCACCCAGCACCTGGGACACGGGCTTCCTTCTCAGCCCCGGCTTGGCCCAGGACATCCACTCTAATTAGCATGTTACTCTTTTATTATTATAGATTGATATTATTGAAGGGTTCTTCCTTAAAAACCCAACCTCTCCCTCAATTAGGGGATTTAAGATTGCTTCTTATCTCTGCCTGGGACCTAGAAGGAGAGATCCTGGATATTGCTGATCAGACAAGGCCTGTCACTTGACCTACATACAGATCAGATTGGGGTTTCTTGGTCTTCTCAGCTGCGGTAGCCCTAGAAACCCCTCATTAATTATCCACCACCACCAATTCCTATAGTGCAGACCATTACTTTGGTCCTCCTTCTTATGTCCACTGTGCCCGTCTTCCCTGAGGTCACTTAGCTCTGCTGCCTCAGCTTTTGCTGTTCCTCATTGAAAGCATCCCATTTCAACAGCAGCACCTACCACACTCACCTTCCGCTCCATGACTTCCTGGGGGGGTGTTCACAGGTGGGTAAGCAAGATACATGGTAAATCTCCCTTCGTCTTTATATTTCAACCTCTGTATGTCACTGAGACATTTTTTTTTTTTTTTGTCTGGATACTCTATTTCTATTCTAGGCATTATTATATCCTGTAGCAGACAGAAAGTTTGAGTTGCATTGTTTTAGGGCCTAGGACAGTGGTCTGCAAACTCATTAGTCAACAGAGCCAAATATCAACAGTACAATGATTGAAATTTCTTTTGAGATCCAAGTTTTTTAAACAACTTCTTCTAACGCACTTCTTCAAAATAGACTCCCTCAGGCTGTGGTATTTTGTGGAAGAGCCACACTCAGGGGGCCAAAGAACCACATGTGGCTCATGAGCCACAGTTTGCCGACCACGGGCCTAGGAGAGTGCCATTTACAAACATCTTGGCAACTGTGATGAATTCCGAGTTTTACAATTTGGATACATTTATTAGTAATGTATTATAATACCTAAGATGTAAAAGCTAATCAAGTAACTCCTCAGAGTACTTTCATGTCTATTTTCTTACTTCCTCTGAGATAAACCTGTGGGGGAAGTGGGACTAGATTCTTACAGATGGGGACACAGATTCAGAAAAGGTAACTAACTCTTCAGAGGCAGAACTAGGTCTAGAGCGTATTTGCCTTGTGCTCCTCCTCCACCGCGTAGTACCTGAGGGGCATGTAGATTTGTGCACAGTATGTGTGCACATATCCAGGGAAGCCTGCACACACGCCATGCCTCTATCCAGGAACTACAACTTACAGTCCTGTTATTGTTCCTAATAGCAGCATATGTTAAGAAACTCAAATACAATATTTTTGTAAAACCTGTGTTTTTTTTAATAATAGCTACTATAATTGTTACTTATGGTTGTAATCTTTTTTTTTTCTTCTAAAAACTCTGACCTCAAAAATTGCCCAAAATACAACTCTCAAAGGAATTTTCAGTCTCATTTTTAATCAGAAAAATATAAGTTAAAGTACCTTTGACAGATTACTATTTTTCAACTATGTGTGCACTTATTTATGCATACATATATAAATGCTGACAAGGTTTACAGTATAATAGATAAATAGAAACTTTATAATTGTCTTATAATTAAGCAAATTTTTTTTAGAAACCACTATGGCAATATGTAGCAAATTTGGCAGTGGTAAGAAATTGTATACTCAATTTAGTTACCCATGCCTGCAAAGTTATTCCAAGGATATTTTTAGCAAAAACATACAAAAACATTGAAACATTTTTGTAAAAGACTCCCTTCTCCCCAAGAAACATTTTACAGTTTAGAGTTTCATAAAGTATGGAAGATCATTATACAGCATGGGAAAGTGTTTGATATTTGCAAAAGACATGCTTGTTGAAGACTAGTCTAGGAAGTTACAAATGAAAATTGCATATAACAGGATCATGCATAATAAATGTTTGTGTTTTCTTTGCAATGCGTGCACCATTTAGTTTGTATCTCTTTACAATATTTCCCTTTAGGGAAAATGCTTTTACTACTGCCTGAAGTGTGTATGCCTTCTCGAGTGGACTTTTTGTCTTCTCCTCATGGAAAGGAGTTTGGAGCCTGGGTTGTTGGACTTGTGTAATTGAGGCAGTTCTGCTGGTTGAGGCCCAAACTATTCTGTTGTCCATCTTACCCCATTTAACACGAATGTCTAAGGCAACTATTTTCAAGCTTTTTCATCTAATGGCACACATAGAGTAGTTACTAAAATTCTAGGGAACACCAAAAATATATATTTTTTGCCAATTTGACAAAGAAAAAAATAGGTATGATTTTGACTCATTCACACTAGTCAGCTGTTGTGTTGGCTGTTGACGTTGTTTTATTTTACAAATCTAAGGGCAGAGCTCAGTGCTCTGGACTAAATAGTGTTGGTTTTGCATATGTTAAAAATTCTTGCAGCGCCCTGGTTGAAAATCACTGGCCCAAAGTGATTGGCATGCTGATGATTGTTGGTAAATCATTTTTCCTTGTTTTCTCTCCACGTAGCAAACAAAAAAAGCACTTTTGAAGATTAACAGTAAATATGCCTTAAAAAGCCACCTCTGTTCCTGCCCTCCCTCCTTTTCATAAAAAATATCCTTTTTTAAAGCATAACATCGGGAAGTTCTCAGCGTGATTTAGTGCAGGCTCAGCTGTTATCTCATCTGAAGGGTTCGCTGGAGGCTGGAGTTTCCCCACAGTCCTGACCGCGGAGAGAGGAATGTGGTACTGACGTCACAGCCGCTCCTGGGAATGTTTTGCATTCTTCTTCCTGGCAGTGGTCAGGTGGCTTCCAGCAAGAGTGCAGGACAACAGCTTCCAAAAAAGAAAAAAAAACCGAGAGGAGGGAAAGAACAGTTTATAATCAAACTATTGTGGAGGAGGCACTTTTATACTGAGCCAACATTGAAATTAGAATCAGATGGCTTGCATTCTGATACTGCACGAATGTTAAATACATTGATTAATGACTGTAATAGCTGAGCTGTTTGGTTTTTTACTGAACTTATTATATTTTGAAACTCTTTAAAGGATTATGGAAAAACAACTTCTTGTAGCTGACATTTTAACTGTGAAAAGCAGCTTTCTGGGTGTAAAATGAAAAAAAGGCACACTTCTTCATAGATGTTTTTAAGGTCTGTTAATCTTCTGAAAATTCGCTTCTGTAATCTAAAACTCTGTTAAGCTGTTAATGTATTTTATACCAATCAACCACTCATTGAGGGGAAGTTACATTTCAGTTAAAGGTATATGCAGATTGAAATATCTTCTGTGAAGTTCTTTTCCCCCAAATATTTCCATTTCCATTGTTATTTCTGTATATTACATTACTGGCCAAGCCAAATAGTCTAAACAAAACTTAGCAACTTCTTAATATAATAAACAGAGGTTTTGCCAAAGGCATGCAACTCTGTAATAATGTGTGCAACAGAAAGCTGGGCAGTCATTGAATTATATTTTAAATTAATTTGTATTTTCCTTCTAGCCACAGAAGTACCTTTATTCAAATTTATTATATATACTGTGTTACCAAATCACAATTTGTATGTTTGAGTATTTTTAAATAAAACACTTTATTTTTTTTTTTTTCAAACCAATGCCTTTCTGTAGATTTTTACTTATTTTGATGAAACAGCAGTTAGATTAGCAGCAGTTCTCCAGCTGAAGCGAGGTGTGTCTGAACACTTTCTGTTTACATTGAAATGGAAAGTTGGCTTCGTATTGTAGGTCATGCTGCTGGTGAGGAATTTCCAAAACGTAGAAAAGTGCCTACTCACAGTGTACGATGGCTCACCCAGCTACACAGTTCAGGCTCCAGGGGGTTTCCTGAGCGCTTGGCTGAGCAAACAAAATATGCCGCCTTGTTGTGCTGCTTATTGTAGATGTCGGGCTGGGTGGAGGAGGGGCTGTTCTTGTGTCGGGGATAAGATCCTTGGTAATAGCTTCCAAAATGGTACAAGTTCCAGAGGTGGGAGGGGGTCACGTGTGCTTTTCTGCAGCCGGTTAGCCTGTGGGAAGCAGGTTGTGATAGTCAGTGCTGTTGGCTTCCGCTTCTTGCCCCATGGTGTGCCCTGTGGAATGGGGTGAGCCTGCATGTGTCAGTCAGAGTGGTGCTTTTTTTTTTTTTTTTTTTTTTTTTTTTTATTTTTTTCCAGGAGGATTGGTCCATGAAAAGGTCTGTGGTATTTTATCTTTTATATCTATGACCAGAAGTCACTGAATCTATTAACAATTTACTAAAGGATTTAAGTAGTTGGCTGATGGGAATTAAGAGAAAAACTAGATCTGTTGCCTTTAACTTACCTGCACTGTCCTGGATATCTTACATTTGTTAAGCTGACTGAATCAGAAGTTACTAATCGAGATTTATTTTTCACTCATATGGTATGGAAATGATTGCAAGGTTTGGAGGAGAGGGGCTTTCTGCAACAAAAACTCACCTTTTAAATACCTCTGGTCCCACACTTAATATATTCCAGTTGTGTTCACCATCCGTTTCACAACCATTCACTGAATCACTGCTCTGGGGCAGGCCAGCGCTGGTGCTACTCTGCTGAAGACAAACCAGAGCAAGGAATATGTGTCCATACATACGGAAAGCGTCCCTTTAAGGTTGCTATGGTAGAAATCTAAGGGTAGAACTCTATTTTAAAACTATTTTCTGATTTTCTTAAAAGCAGACAAAAGGAAGAACATATGTGCTTTTGAACACAGCCCCACCCAGTGGGACATGCACCCTGCTGTGGAGGCTTCTGCACCTTAGGAAGTCACAGCCATAGTCATCTAGAGTGTGCCCCAACAATGAGCACAGAGTCAGTTAGCTTTATGTCTGTCTGTGCTATCTTCTCTAAGAGATAGAAAAGAAATCCTTGACCTATTTTATGGAAGGTTCACAAGGAATTATTAATAGAATGAATATTTCCAATATTAATAGTATCTCATATCTCCAAATGTGAGATATCATTCTCCATCTTTTTAAGTGTATGTTCTCTAAACAGTAGCAAAGAAGAATCTTGTTAACATTTGGCTGATGTTCTACATGAGAACCAAGTGAATACCATTGGGTGGTAGACATCAGCTCTGATGGGTTTCCCTAGCCAGTGTGGCACAGGTGATTGGGCATCATTTTGTGCACCAAACAGTTGCTGGTCCCATTTCCTCTCAGGGCACATGCCCAGGTGGTCTCAATCCCCAGTAGGGGGCTTGCAGGAGACAGCCGATCAATGTTGTGCTCTCTCATCGATACTTCTTTCTTCTCCCTTCTTAAAAAAGAAAAAAAGAAAGAAAGTGGTGAAGGGGTACTTATGGCCTGTCTCACTGCCCCACGGGATCCTTGGGAAGACTTATGATCCCTTTGGGGAGGTAATCTACAAAGCTCAGGGCCAGATTAATCACATATGTGTTTCTTTAATGATAATTATAGGACTTTAATTATATATATTTATGTGATTTCTGTCTACTTTCTTCAATTATGATACTCTAGGATTACATTGCCTAAACTGTTTATACATATCTTGTAAGTATATATTTGATGTTTGTTGACTAAATAATTGAGGTTGCTCTACTTTTCGGCAAAATTACATTCTTTACTCTGTAGACTCTCGTGTATATATACATACATGTCCATGGCATGTTTTTAAATTGTGGTAAAATATTCATAACAAAATGTATCATTTATACTTTCGGTGTATTTTCATCATTTCCAAACAGACTACACCCATTTAAAAAAATCCCCAACCTCACTCCACACCTTCCCCCAGCTCCTGGTCACCTCTATTATACTTACTGTCTCATAAATCTGCATATTCTAGGTAACTCACAGAAGTGGAGACATACAGTATTTGTCTTTGTGTGTTTGTCTTGTTTTACTAGGAGTAATGTCCTCAAGCTTCATCCATGTTATAGCATGTATCAGAATGTCATTCCTTTTTTAAGGCTGAATGAATATGCCATTGTACATATATACACCACATTTTGTTTGTCTCTTCATCTGTTGATGGGCATTTGGATTGTTTCCATCATCTCACTATTGTGAATATGAGTGCTACTATGAACATTGGTATACAAGTATTTGTTTGAGTTCCTGTTTTCAGCTTCTTTGGGTATATACCTAGGAGTGAAAATGCTAAATCATATGTTAATTCTATGTTTAATGTTCTGAGGAACCATTATACTGTTTTCCATACCAACTGTACATTCCCACCAGCAAGGCACAGGATTTCAATTTCTCAACATCTTCACTAACACTTGTTATTTTCCCATTTTTCTAAAAACAGCCATTCTGATTAGTGTGAAGTGGTATTTCATTGTGGCTTTGACTTGCATTTTCTTGTGGACTAGTGATGTTGATCACACGATACACTTTTAAATTTAAACTCTGAAATACCTCCCTGTAATCAGACATTATCTGCAAAATAAAAGTCTTCAACGAAGTCTGATGAAGGCTTCCTCATTAACCCTTCCTCCCTTCAGTTCCAGCTCTTCTCTGGCCTACTGACCCTGGTGGTGTGATGTGATTTGCATGTCTAGAGTTAGAGAAAGGGTAGGTTTTCCTCCAGCTGGCGCATCCTCCTGCAACCAATTTTTTTTGCTATCTCTGTGTCAGATTCATTAGGTATCCAGAGGATTATGTTTACTTACACAGATTTTAGTTTTAGAAAAACCAAGCTTTTAACCTGGAGCTGTAATGTATAGGCATTAAGTAATTGGAAAAGAAAATGTTGTGAAATTAGTACTATACTGTAAAGACATCTTGAAATCAATGAAATGCTTGCTTATTTATCTTTTAGTAATTTTATGGTTTCATTATTTACATTTAATGTTTAATACATTTGAAATGTGTGTTGGAGTATAATATGAGATGGGGCTCAACTTTCATGTTTTTCCAAATAATTTAATCAGCTTGACTTCCTAAGTAATTGTCCCTCGCTGATTTTTTTAAAATATATTTTATTGATTTTTTTTACAGAGAGGAAGGGAGAGAAATAGAGAGTTAGAAACATCGATGAGAGAGAATCATCGATCAGCTGCCTCTTGCACACCCCCTACTGGGGATATGCCCGCAACCAAGGTACATGCCCTTGACCGGAATCGAACCTGGGACCCTTCAGTCCCCAAGCCGACACTCTATCCATTGAGCCAAACCGGTTTTGGCCCCTCACTGATTTTGTTGTTGTTAATACTCACGTAAGGATATTTTTCTATTGATTTTTACTTGTTTTTGTTTTTTGTGGTTGTTGTTGTTTTAAAATACATTAAGTTTTAGAGAGAGTGGAAGAAAGGGGGAGAGACAGAGAGAGAGAAACGTCAATGTGAGAGAGACACATTACTTGATTACCTCTCGTACACGCACTAACCAGGACTTGGGACCATGCCTGTAACCGAGGTACATGCTCTTGACCAGATTGAACCCAGGACCCTTCAGTCCAAGGGCTGATGCTCTATCCACTGAGCCAAACCCACTTTGGCTCTCCCACTGGTTTTAAATGGGCCCACGGGCCATGAGTTTGACATGCTTGCTCTATTTCATTGTATTGACAGTCTATAAACCTTGCCGTAAATTAGTGCCATACTATTTATGAATAATTTATACATAAATATGCTTGATTGGGGAACATGATCTTAAAAAACTTTAAGCAAGATGCATCATTAGTTTTAGAAACATTCAGTAAACACAAAGTCTGGCATATTTTTAAATTTTACTTCTTGCTATCATATTGCCTCTTGCACTCCTCATTATAGCACAGGATTCATCTTGAATCCTGGAGGAAAGAGGAGGGTTAGCTACCAAAGTATAACCTGATTTTTGCTACAGATAACGTAGTCTCCTTGCATGGACTTTGATATGGAGTATCTATTATTTAATTCTATTAGTTTTCTTTGTTTCTCAGTTTTTCTGAGGAACTCTAAAAATAAGCTTTAAGATAATATGCCTTTTATAACAGAGAGACTAATGTTTTATACATACTATATTAATCAGTGGTCTGCTAGCTTGCTAATGATTAGTTTAATATTTATTTCCTATTGAAATGGGTACACATATGGAATGTTTAATATGAATTAAACAAAACTTGAATTTTATGCTTGTATCATCAAGCTCCAAGAAGTCTAGCTCAAGAATGTTTGGTTTGTTTGTTTTAAAATTTAAGATTCAGAATATTTGTATCCTGGATTTTTTTCATCTTGGTCTCTTAGCTGATTCCTACCTCTCTCAGTCTTACTTTGGCAGCTCAAGACAGTGTGTGAAAGATAGCATGAAAATTCTGAACTTGTTTCCTCAGAAAGAAGGTAATCATACTTACTGCTTTGTGTGGGTTATTTCCTTTGATCCCTAACACAAGCATAAGAGAGGCAATTGTATAATATCTTAAATGTAGCTAGGGAAACTGAAGTCAGGGAGATTTAATAATTTGCTAAATAGCCCACCCTTAGTGGGGTCACAAAGCTGTGTGACACTGGGCATGTCTGACTCCAGAATGACATTCTAGTTAAGTGGCCTCTGAAAAGAAGCCTAACTTTGTCATAGACTTGCTTTAGTGTTTAGCATGCTGGTGAGTTGGGAATGTCAAGTTTTCTTGACTCTGTAGTGGCCTGTTGATGATCCTGAGGAAATTTAAACAAATCGGATGAGGCTCAAAGAATTGTCTAGGGACATGGCTGCAGCCCATGTCCCTCTATGTGTGCAGTTTTACCTCGTTTTCAGTGCCACACCGCTTCCAGGGGAAGGCGGGTATGGTCTCGCTTCTTCAGGGGAACATGCACGTGTAGCTTTTTAAGAATGAATATTGGATCCAAGTTTCCTGCCAGCAGAGAGGGGGGTGTCTAGTCAGAGGCAAACCAGATCAAATCCACTTGGGCATCGGAAGCCTGACTTCTATCTAGAACAGTGGTCGGCAAACCGTGGTTTGTGAGCCACATGCAGCTCCTTGGCCTCTTGAGTGTGGCTCTTTCACAAAATACCACGGCCTGGGCGAGTCTATTTTGAAGAAGTGGCGTTAGAAGAAGTTTAAGTTTAAAAAATGTGGCTCTCAAAAGAAAGTTCAATCGTTGTACTGTTGATTTTTGGCTCTGTGGACTAATGAGTTTGCCAACCACTGATCTAGAAGGATGGCTCCAAGGGGAAGTTGAGGATGACATTATTCAGTGTCACTGTAGAGATTAGATTGAAGTTGCTAAACTTCATAAACTAATAACCACTGTTTTCCATATTTTTATTTCCTTACTATTTTCACCCTAAAAGTAAATAATTAAAGCAAAAAAAAAAAATGTCTTGAGTATTATGGAATGTGTGTTGCTGTAAATAGAGAAAAGGAGGAACTTAGGGGGGGGGGGGAACAGAGAATTCTGTTCTTAAAGAGAAATCCATTTCCTATTTGGAAGCAGTCCAGTCCTTTTTGTAGATAGAAATCTAGTGGAATCAGCAAGATATGGCAAATTTTTGTGTCAAGGAAGGATGTTCCTAGTTCTTAGAAATATCTGAGCCGCAAAACAAGAATGTGAGTCTCAGGGGTCGTCCCGTTCCCTCTGCTGTCCCTCTCTCGGCTTGTTTACTTTGCGCTGTGGTTTCTGAGCATCTGTATTATGTGACTGTACTTACTCCCTGTACTTCCCCTCGCAGGGTGTCTTTCCTCGCATTTGTAAAGAAAGTATGTTAAAGCTCGTTTATTTCCCCCACTTGGTTGTCAGCAGTAGGAAAAGCTGCCGAAGGTGGTCAGAGCCAGCGTGGACATGAGGGCCTGCGAGCTTGAAAGGAAAGAGTGAATTTCTGCTGTCCCTGCTGCCAGGTGACCTTCGGCCCACACCTTCCCCCCGCCGTTTGCAGAAGTTGGGCAGGACACCCGTGTGTTACTAAAAAAAATCACAGAATGTCACCGTGTTGCCCGTACAATGTCCTATTGCTTGCTCTTTTTAAAAAGACAAAAGGAGAAAATATTTGCCAAATTTTTAAAATGTGGTTTTAAAATCCATCTTTACATTTTAATGTGAAAAAGTGTTTTATGTACTGGATGTCCTTATTTCGAATTCTTTTTTCCCCCCTGCAGTTAGTAATCTTCTGTTTCTGAGAAAGCTCTCTATGCAGTATTATTTGTGAAATCTATAGTAACCTAATGATGTTTCTGTCATATTATTTTTAATACATTTAAAATAAGGATTTTAAGCTTTTTAAAAGCAAGTTTTTCTTTCAGAATTTAAACCTTAGTACCACTTCGCTGTATTTCCCCCTGAATTCCATTTGTGTGAGTTTTCCGGTATTTTATTGAAAACCTATTCCATCTTGTTTGACCCTAACCAGACCAGTAAGATCGAGGCATTGCATAGAGGCGGTCTTTGTAGGACTGTAGCCACAAATGTCAGTTCTGTGACCAAATAGCCACCAGTATGGATTGGGAGCAAGGCACATTCCCGCCGTTCATGGAGATCTAAAGACTGTGTGTGCTTTAGGGGAAAGACCAGCTGACTACAGAGGTTTATGAACCCTGACCTATGAACCAAGGTCAGGGTTCATTTCTCAGTCAGGGCGTGTGTCCAGGTTTCAGGCTTGATTCCCCAGGAGGGGGCATGCAGGAGGCAGCCAGTCAACGATTCTCTCTCATCACTGATGTTTCCCCTCTCACTTCCTCCCTCTGAAATCAGTAAACATACATTTTTAAAGTATAACTTTAATACTTGAGCTGTTCAGAAATGACTCCAACGTAAACAGTGTCGAATGTTGATCAGCACCGGTTGCGGTCCCGGGGGGGCTGTTGTCCTTTTGACTTCAGTGCTGACTTTCCATGTCAGTCAGCGGCACAGGTTACACTGGATCTGTGATATGCATCGGATTGCATCCAGGCCTGCCTCTCTTTCTCTGTGTTACATCGTGCTGTGTGAGGGGGCCGCTCAGCGCAACCAGGCATAGTCTCCTCGGTAAGGGCTAGCTTCCTCGGGAAAGCAGAACTGTGGTTACATCATTTCATCACCTCGTTTCTCTGCTGCTAGAAGTTGAGAATTTGGGAGCTGTTGTGAAGTCTTTGCACCGAACCTGTGTTTCCCTGTCTTCAGGGAGAGGGGTCTTTGTCCACATCCCCAAAGAGCGCACAGTGACAGCGGCGCTGTGGCATGAAGTTTCAGGCCTGCCTGGCTCGCTGGTGTTGGTTTGATGCTCAATCCTGACTCCCAGCACAAAAAGTTGTCTTTATGGATCAGTTCATTGCACTGACACCTGCATGGAATTACCAAGTAAAATAGAGAACACGCAAGTAAACCTGAATTGCAAGTAAACTATGGTGTAAACTTACACTAAAAAGTTATTCCTCATTCATCGGAAATTCACATTTCACTGGCCATCCTGTATTTTATTTGGTGAATCTGGCAACTGTACACCTAATCATTCATAAAAAATGTCACTGTAGGGATGAGCGTTTAGGGAACTGCCTAAACCTTTAAGGTTGGGAAGGCTTTTCTTCGCAATTATTTCTCCGAAGCTCTCCTCCCATACAGCCACAGGAACATGTGTCAGGCATGGCATGCAGCTCATCGTTTCACATTCCTGACAGAAGTCCCTGTGGGCTTCTCTAACCATGGCATCCTTTTGGTGAGGCTCAGCAGGCAGTAAGACCCTGACTTCTTTTTTTTTTTTTTTTTTAATAAATATATTTTATTGATTTTGTACAGAGAGGAAGGGAGAGAGATAGAGAGCTAGAAACATCGATGAGAGAGAGTCATCGATCAGCTGCCTCTTGCACACCCCCCACCGGGGATATGCCCGCAACCAAGATACATGCCCTTGACCGGAACCGAACCCGGGTCCCTTCAGTCCCCAAGCCGACGCTCTATCCATTGAGCCAAACCGGTCTCGGCAGACCCTGACTTCTGACACCCTTTCTCCGTGCCACATACAATCCCTCTACCCCCCACACTCACCTACCCCCCGAACGGCAGCCATAGGTTCAGGATTAGCATCTATCCCTTCCAGAGGGAGGTTCCTGGCCAGCTACAGGCACATAAACCTTCTGGCCCGTTTCAGGGTTTGCTGGGGCCAAAGTATGTGGCTTTTCTCATTCTCAGGATCTCAGAGAGTTCTTATGTTAAATTGTTCAAGTGGCCCAGAGAACAAGAGGGGAGTGGATGGTGCATGATGTAAGAGGGGTCAGAGGTTGGAAGGGAGCAGAGAGAAGGAAAAATATTTAGTGCTTCTAAGACTTGAACAGTCAGTGTGCAAAGGAGAACAGAGCAGAGCTATCAGTTCCCACCCAGGGTGTAGGTTGTGGGAACTCTGACATTTCTCCCACAGGATTGCTAATGCTATCTGATAATAAAATTCAGGCTTTTTTTTTTTTGCTAGGCTTTTTACAGAAGGAAGCTTTTATTTCTACAGGACTTCATTAATTAAGGACGTCACACCCTATTTTGAGTTGGATTTCCTGCTAGTTGTGATCGGAGGCATTCTTCCCGGACCAGGGTGAATTCAGTCCCAGTGTTTGCTTGTAAAACTGAATCCAGTCATTGTATTTGCAGCTTGGCTTCCTGCCTGGTCTTAAAGTACAGAGCAAACTTCAGCTAGTTCCTGCCTCCCCGGGATCCTACGTCCTCCATCGAGAGCAGGGAAAGGAGAGGGGAAAACCCAGAGGGTGACTGAGTTCATGTACTTGCCACGCCAGAGGGCAGCTGTGTGCTGCCTTGTCATCACATGATTCTTTGGAGAATCCTGATATTCCAGTTACGGGAATAGGAGACAGCCTTAAAAAAAAAAAAAAAAAAAAAAAAAAACCATACAAAAGACTGGTTCTCTCTTTATGGTTCTAGCATGAGCATTAGCGGCTGAATAAACCCACTTTGCTACCAAGTACAAGTTGAAAACAGGAGGTTGTTGAAGATCTGGGGGAGATAATAGATCAACCGAAGGACTTGTGTACATGCATATAAGTACAACCAATGGACATAAAACTCTGGGGAGGGAGGGTATGTATGTGAGGGAGGGAGGGGGGCAAAAAAAATCAATAAAATATTGTATATTAATAAATAAATAAATAAATAAATAAAAATAAAAAAACAGGAGGTTTTATGTTTTGCTTCTTCTCAAAGTTTTGTGTGTAAGGAAAGAACTTCTGTGAGGAGCAATCACAAGCTAGGAATGTGGCCCTGTTGGCTGGTCCACCCTGACGTGCCCACTACTGCGTCCTGGTCGGAGCCCCAGGTGCTGCAGGCTGCCTTCTGGGTTTGCGGGGAAGGTCTGCCCTTCTCCCTGGAGGAACAGAAAATAGGGCTCGTGTGCTCATTGTCACTCCGTGCACCCGCGCGACGATTGCTGGCGAAACTCAGCAGATTGTGGGTTAGAAAGGATCGTTTCTTCATTAAATGTGAGGGGATCCAGATGAATTCAAGGGCACCAGCCCTGAGGATCCTTAGGAGTAATGGATTCATTGTGACTCCCCAAAATTAAACTTGGCGCCTCTTTATTTGAAAAAAAGACAGAATCGGGGATGGCTGTTGGTTGGCTGTGCCCAGGGTCTGCTTGCCACACGGTGCTGAAATAAGGAGCGTGGAAACGATGCCTGAGCTCGTGGCTCCATCTTACCCTGGTGACAATGCAGCATGTGTATCTCTTGTCACTCGAATCTATTATTTAACTAGGAGCCCAGCGCACTTTTCAAAATAGCACCATGCCGCCCACCCTTGAATTGCCAGTCCAGCCCTGCCTCCCTCTCTGGCCCTTGAAGCAGCCGTGGTTGCTGCTGATCGGACCCTCCCCCAGGGCAGATGCGCAGAGGCCCCTGCCGCCCCACCCCTGAGCCCCACCCCTGACCCTGCGTGCACAACCTCCTCCTGTCCGGTGGACCCGTTACAGCATCCTGGTTAATTAGCATACTTCTCTATTTCATAGATAGATAGATACATAGATAGGTAGGTAGGTAGGTAGGTAGATTCTAATCTGGCCCATTGGATTAGAGCCAAGTTACCTTTACTTAAGACTTA